CCCTTACATGTCAGTCGGGTTTGATGGGTACGATGTTGATCATAAGGGGTTGAAGGCTGAGATTGGATTGTTCTATATTATTGATTATAGTATATATCAAATAATGATTTTGAATAGTCATGATGATCCCGTCAAAATTTTAATATGATCGACTTGTCGTCTTAATCTGCATTCTAATCTTTTTTGTAGTTTCAGTACACTGATGATTAGGTATATGCATAGTTTTAAAAAAAAACTTGGTTTCGTAGGTTTAACACTCCCACCCCGATTCTCATGTAAATGTGCGGGAGGGGAATTAAGTAGGTCATGTCTCTGTGGTATTTTAGCGAATGTGCTGCATCATTCCACATTGCGTCGTTGTTGTTGGCTAAAGTTATACCTTGTTTGCTACAAATGAATTTACAGGGGCCGGTTTCTTTACAGCATTTCTTGACTAAATTCTTCTTGTTGACAGTTTTTCGGCGTTCCAACCAGTTTCTCCTGTAACTGATAAAATATATTCTGAGATTAGCTGTGACATTTCGTTGGCAGCGAACAAGGATGTTCCTTTATCTAAAAAGATAAGCGAGATGCATCGATATTTCTGTAGGACGTACGATTTTTATTTATTTCTTGCATATTCGCCATAATCGTCGGATAATTTTCATGAAGAATATGTCTTCACCAGTCTTTAAAAGACAGTCTGTTGGAACTGACAGCGAATAATGCAAATTGTTAGTCGTCATTGATTAGATAGACGAGTCAGGTGACAAATGGCATGTGTGATTTATCATTTATGAAATTTTAATACGGTCATATAATTTGATCTCTGCTTAAAATGCTTTGCAGAGCGTTTAGTTTTTAAATAACTTCTTTTCAGTTTTATATCAAAGGACTAGAAGATGTTACGAATCATAAAAACAACGCACTGTTCAAAGTTTGCGGTGCTCTTTTGCATATTCTTGATACAACGTTCGCTTGCATCGTTTCTTGGCTGAAGGATTCTTCTTCGTTGTTACAGTCGTTTCCCGGAGAGGCTAAAGGGTTTTTTCGATGTATCAGCCAGTTTTTAAGGTATAACAGATCAGCACATTTCTCCATTACACTTCTGATTAACTTGCCTTGTTTCAGCTATGTTGCTATGACGAACTTTCTCAGTTTTTCAAGTTTCTTTATTCATCATTTCTCAAGTACGGATATCTCGAACGACGAGGCATTCAACTTTTTACTGGACCTTGTTCAATTTATTTCATCGTTATTGAATTTATTAGTCTTTGGGTAAGCGACCTGATGAGGCGCAATAACTTTGGGCTTTAAGCCTGCGTTTGCTTTCAGCGAAACTTCAAGTAGCGAGACAGCGCATGAACGCCCTGTGACGTTGGTGAACACCTTAAAGTCCACCGATTTGCTTGGTACCATAACGTTGCTATATCGTCTGGTGCTCAACCCGAACACTGTGTCGTCACAGGCCAGCGTCCAAACGTCACCAACAGTTCTTTCACCATTTGTGACGAAGTTTACCTTGGCGACTCTCGATTGCTGCAATTCCATCGCGCTCATGAGTGCCCACGTGTTTCAGGCATGTTTTTCAATGTATGCTGTCTTAAGTGTAAGCAAAATTTTAAGCTGTTTCTCTCTATTTGTTGTTTAATGTCTCCCTGGAAACCATTTTGTTGTCAAAAGTTATGTAACAGTAAGTAGTGTACCTTTTTATATGAGCCATATGTTTCTCCTCCCTTCGCCATGTTCTGTAAATTTTAAATTTTTGCGCATCTAACCTGACTATCTGCCAGTTTTATAAGTTGACCATTTCAAAATATATTCAAACTTTTGAGGTTGGTTTTCTGACATTCTTATCGCAGTTTAGGAGGCATTAAGTCAACAGATTTCGCTTGAATATCGTCATATTGCCAGTTTTTTGCTCAGCTATGGCAGCCGATACAATAATGCAGATATTTTACATCGAATTATCGTTTCTATTGGGTACTTCACTTGCTGTAACGAAGTTAATCAGGTAAGCATGCTAACCTTTTGCAGCCGAAAACATCATTCAGTATGTTCATCCGTTCAGAATCTCATTCATTCGGGAAACCTACCAACAGTACTGCACCAGATGCTTTTGTTGCCTTTCCAGTACTTTTGTGATGAGGAACTGAAAAACATTCTCTTTCCCACGCTGATATGCTGCTCATTTAACAATGCTGTGAATCGGCAGATACTTGACGAAGAAATGGACTGCGCACGGCTGGCTGACTATGTTGAAGTAAGCTGCACAATCTTTGATAACTTGTCAGCGTTGACTTTTGTTATATGCACGACGACTGTATATATTTTGCTAAATGTTTTCACGCTTTGTTAGCTCGTTTATGAGGGTAGGTAATTGCTTAACATGTTGAGTGCAGAAACGAATCAGATTTCCAAACAAAATGAACTTTACCTTTGCCAATTTATTTTTTGATTTCTGGCCTACCGCTTAATGAAAGTGTCTGACCTGTATCGCATGAGAATCTAGCATTTTGGCACAAAATAAATATGGGTGTTAGTTAGAAAACCGCATATCACTAAAACAGGAACAGCGTTATTAATGAAACCATGTACAGCATTTCCATGGCGTGATAGCATGATCATGCCAAAAGGAATATTTTAAGTTAAGATCTTTCTGCAAATTCTGGTCATAAACTATATTCGATAATTGAAATTCCATGCTCTTCATACGTCATGGGTTTTTCATTATTTTGTTTCGGTGTAACTCGCCAGGGCTGAAATCGCCCTTTCCTAGTGACCCTGCTGTTGCGCAATCTGTAGTTGCTTATTCGTCAGGTGTTTTGCATGTTTCGCTGCTGGCCCACACAGGTGCGTACTGTTCCACTATTCCAAGCCTTTGAACACGCGTAATGGCATTTAACATCGCCCTTCACTGGAACTACATGTGTTGCCGAACCGAGCTATATATGTGTTGTGTGTTTGTTGAAGCCATTTGCAAGAACAAAATATCTATAACCTGTCGCTGTATTCATAGCTGTACAATACTTTGGCTATAAGGCACCGGTTACTGCGTCTTATTAACAGAGATTCCTCTATAAAAGAAGGTCTGTCTATGTCTTATTTGCTTCATGCTGGCTTTTTCATCGAAGTCTGTCATGTACAGCCTCCCACAGGAGAGGTTCGCGGGCTCGAACAAGTGGTTTATGCTCAGCCAACGACAGGATGATGTGGTTATTCAGATATAGGTATAACAGAATGATTCAACTTCGATAGAACTTGGAGAATAAGTGCATTAATCTTCGTCTTCCATCGCCGCTTCTCCTTTCGGGTCACGGAGGCAGACACGTCAGACAGAGCTTCCAACGTTCCCGATCCTGTGCCA